AAAATTAAAAAAAGATTTAGCCAGGCTTGGTGGTATGCACCTGTAGTCACAGCTATTTGGGAGGCTGAGGCAGGAGGGTTGCTTGAGCCCAGGAGTTGGAGGCTGCAGGGAGCTGTGACAGGGCCACTGTACTCCAGCTTTACTTTTTGAAAAAGTTTTAAATCATTAGCTTGATTTTGCAACACTCCTACATTCTTGGCTGTGCATTCATGTTAATCTATTTCAGATAAAAGTAAAGTTTACTTCTACAAAAAATGAGCTTTCTAGAAAATAATTTAGAAATAGTAGAATATTATAAACTACTAATTAATAACCACTGCTCCTTATAGAGTACATGGGAAATAAATAATCAGCTTGTAGTAAACTTGCATACTATAAAAGTCATGACAGAAGCCATCTGTTGGTGCCACCACTGATATATGACTGTAGAAGAAAAAAAAGATCAGTGAACACAGTTCTCATGCACCTCTTGATCCGAGACTCCAGGGCAGGAGAAAATACGCCAGTGTATAAAACCATAGTGCCCTTGCTACCAGTGTGGGGAAATTCCTGTTGCTTTATCTGTCTCCAGCATGTCAAATTTGGGATCTAACATTTTTTTTTTAAATATGAAGGGGTACTAGGAAATGAACAAGGACTTTGACCTTCAGGTTGCCCATTTGAAACACTGACACGATTTTCATTATGAGTTCACTGCAATTCCAAAATTTTAGATGTGAAGATGTACCTTTGTGTTGCCTATCCAAAGAAACAAATTCAAGTATTGGCAACAGTGTGAAGATATCAGCAATATGAATAAAAACCTGACAGTATGCATATTCTTTGATGTAGTAATCATCACTCTTGAAACTTTATCCAGGCCAAAAGTGAGAAAGGAGGCTGGAGAGTGCCTGATGGTGGTGGTGGGGGGGGGGAGGTGGCCCCAGTGAAGGAAGCATGTGACTGTCCACAGCTGTCACCTCGGAGTAGCTGTCTTTCCCTGCAGCTTCATAGCAGTCTACACCACGCTCCGGTGTTTGCAGTATTTCCACTTGTCCACACGTGCGGGAGCCAGGAGTTTGAGAATCCAGCTGCCTAGGAAAGTTACAGTTCGTATCCCTGAGAGACACTTCTCTGGGGGAGGAGCCTGCATTGTGGTGTCTTGAAGACTCAATAAACTTCCCATAGGCTGCACCGGTGGCCTCACAGCTCTGTGAGCAGAATCCTTGGTGACTGCCAAATGCAAATGCAGGAAGCCCTTCTCTCCT